ATGTGGGAGCTCCTTATCCACAGCCACTCCCTGGGGGCCCAGCCCTTCAGCAAGTCTCAGTGCACTGTTATGGCCCAACTACGCCCCCACCCCAACCAAACCCTGTCCAGGAGAGGTCATGCTCTGTGCTTAATGAGGCTATAATCATTTGGAGGCTTGAGGACAAGTGTCAACCTGGCCACCAGCCCACTGGGAAGCTTTTGTCCCCTCTGGGTCTAAATCCCCATCTGTAAAGCTGCACAATGACCCCCTCTCTGGGCCTGCCCCACAGGTGGAGAGTACAAGGTAGTGTGCTCTGTCAGCCAGACCCCTCTGCATGCTTCCAGAAGGGTGGACAGTGCCCAGTACCAGGCATTCCAGGGATCCAGGCCAAATCCACTTAGTCGACCTGAAATTCCCCCTCTAGGAAATCTGTATTCTCCAGGGGGCCCAAACCTAAAGCTCTGTAGAGATTTCTGGCAAGAGACCCCTTGATGCTGGCAAAAACTTTCTTTCCAAAGGGCCCAATCTCATCCATGTGGGACTGGACTCCTCTTCCACATGACCCTGGGCTGGTCGTGTAACACAAAAAGACCTCATCGATAGTGATGGGAAAGCACACTGCACAGGCTGGGTACTCTTCCAGGGCCAGGCCTGGCATGGGTGACCGTGGTGATCCTGGCATGGCACCCCAGCCCCCTTACTGGCCACACCTCTGTGCCCTGCTGTACCTGGCGGAGTTTGTTGAGCAATTCCGGAATGCCAGCCAGCCGCTGTGTAGCCCGCTGGTAGTCCCGATACTGGAGCACCAGCTGCACCATCTCGGGGTCTCCCGTGCTGACTGCTTCCTGCAGGACTGGGGGGCACCAGGCTGCTGAGGGAAGCCTTCCCGATGGCCCCCCGCCTGGCTGCTCACTCCCACCCACCAACCCCACTGCCAGCCTCAAGAGGAGCCCCTCTGCCCTCTGCAGTACCTGCCCAGCCCTGGCGGCTCTCTTTTCCCACGTTGGCATTGTATCGAAGGAGGACCCTTACAGACTCCAGGTTCCCCAGGGACACGGCCAGCTCCAGGGGGGTCCGCCCCCGAGGGTCCTCCTCTTCAATGTCGTGCTGGGGGAGATGGGACATTCAGCACAGGGCAAGAGAGAAGTCAAGCCACGAGGCTGGAGTTTCAGCAGGGCTGGGATTCACTGTGCCCTGTAAGGTGGGCAGAGAGGCAGGGCGAGGCCCAGCGCTGGGAGCCGGGGCCAGAGGCTCACGCGCGAGGGGCAGGTGACCTGGGCTTCGGATGGGTCTGGGGAGGGGGGCCGGGATGCGGCTGCGGGGCTGAGCAGGGGCGGGCGGCCTCCAGATGGAGACCATGGTCTTGGGGCGAGGGGGAGGGACCTGGGGACCTAGCGGGGCCCCGGCGGGGCCTCACCTGGCGGCTGTGCAGCGCGGCCTCCAGTTCGCGGTGCCGGTTCGCCCAGACGAGCCG